CCCCAACGTTCCAGCACAACCATCTTCCCAGACCCTAGCGCAGATTCCGCAACGAGCTCCTGATTTGATGACTCAACGACTGACGTCCGACACGTCAGTTACGGTTTCAAGACAACATCTACCGCAGCAGCAGCAGGAGCAGCAGCAGCAGCAGCGGCGGCTGCTTCAAGAAATGGCTATGGCCTACTACGCTCAAAGCTTTCTTCAACAACAACAACAGCAACAGCAACAAAGTCTCGCCCAGCAGCTATATCGCCATCAACATTCCAGTACTTTAGCACCCTCGCAACAGGTAACTGGTCTCCTCGATTCGCCATTTTGTAGTTTTCATAATCTATTCCGTTGGCGCTTAAATTCATTAACTTCAGCATTGCGGGAAAATATCTGACAGTTGATTTCGTAGTTCCCTCTAACTCTCCGATATTCAGCCATGTCTTATGAATGAACGCCTTTGAGCCATTTCAGCAATTGATCCCTCAATTTGCCCCGTTGGCTGCTCTGTTGTCTGCCGGCCTCAACGTTCCAGCACAACCATCCTCCCAGACACAGCAGCAGATTCCGCAGGATGCGACTGGCGTGATGACTCAACAACCGACGCCTAGCATGTCGACCACGAGTTCAGAAGAACAGGCGCAGCAGCAGCAGCGGCAGGAAATGGCTGCACCAATATCGCCAAAATAAGCAGCAGCCAGCTCTGGCCACAGGCGGAGCCAATCAACCGCCTTCTAGTCGCCTTCCACGCAGCCCCAACACCCAAGTCCTGTTAATAGCAACCCAGTCGCCACCCTGACCTCATGAAGACAGCAGACAAGTCAATGGCAGCTTTGCCAATTGACAGTTCCCCCACCCCCACAACCTCATGTTTCGTTGCAGTTTGTGTGTGTCTGTGTGTGAGTGAGTGTGTTTTCGCCCAACCTGCAGTCGAAAGAAGACTCGCAACGCTGTGTGGCCTGTGTTCTTGAATGTATGTGCAGCACTGCTAGACACGAAATTGTCGTTTTTCTTCTGAAATGCAGTTGCCTGGGTAATGTGTGGGCTGGAGGGTTAGGTTGGGTTGAGGCGATTTGGCGAGATTTCTGGATGTAGTTGGTTTCGACTCGCAAGGCCTGAGCGACCAATCGGTGGTCACGAGAGTGAAGTAGGGAGTCTTAATGGAAGTTGGTGGTTTAAACTCTCAGTGAGTTGGAATGGTTAGCCTTGGGGATTTTACAAGCATGACATTGTACAAATTAGTGTTGTTTTCTTCGTTAAAGCGGCTGTGAAAACTTGACGTACTAGGCCTTGTCCTTCATTACCGCTTCTGAACCAACCTTAGAGAAGATGGGTAAGGATGTTCTTAGCTGTATTTTGATGCAGTTGGAGATGAAAATTGGACAGCCTCAAGAAACAGTGAAGTTGATTGTTGGTCTTCGTTTCTCGGAATTCTTGAATCTGCGTTAAATACTCGTTTAGTGGTTAAATAGGGAAAGTTGGGTGAACGGGCATTACCGAAGGAAGACTCGCAACGCTGCGCGTTTGATCTGTACACTTCTGCTACTGCCATTGTGAATATAGAGCGAGACAAGACATTGTTCTTTTTCTTCTGAAATTCAGTTGCCCGTGTTTTGTTTGACTTGAGGCTCTACCACCATTCACTGCGCGCAATCAAGCACCAACAATGAATTTCATAACGTGTTGTTTCTTTTGATGTGCTTTTCCTTATTTTAACAGATAAAAACTTCGCAACATTTTGCGCGTACTCCTAGGAATAAAGGGTGGAGGTGAGGTGTCGTCACGTGATTTTTAAGAAAAGCGTGATGTGATGCTGCATTGCTTACGGACACACTGATTAATCGGTAACCGGACTAAAATATCACGCCCTAAACTCGTTAGCATGCTGTGTGCTGCAGGATTAGCAATTTAATACAATCGCTAACTGTCGAATGTGTGTTTGAGCAGTTGTGAAATGAATCAAATTCCGTGAATCCAAGCTGTTAATATTCACATTTGCCTTTTCATGTGGTTGAATATAATGGATCTATTTGTTTAATGAGCATTCGGGGTTACTTTATTGAGGTTCAATCAATACGCAACATTTCTCTTTGGCAAATGATGACAACGTGCCTTCGGTTTATACAGTGAAGCGATCCAGTTGGGCTATTTGCACGGAAAAGTTTTCCGCAATTGTTAAAATCGCCCCTTCGCATAGTGCGGTCCGCCTGAACTTCAGATGCAGAAGTTGGCTGTATAATTGAAGCTGTGGTGGAGGTGATGAAGACCGAATACGAGAACCTGATGCGAGCAGTGCGAGCTGGGTGCAAAGTCTTGCGGCAGGCAATGCACATGG